CTTGGGTTTCTGAAAGGCGCCCTCAAATAAAATGCATTATTATTATTATTATTATTGTTATTATTATTATTATTATTATTATTATTGTTGTTGTTGTTGTTGTTATTGTTGTTATTATTATTATTATTATGTATTACCAGTCATTTTTTAGATAAAAAGGTGATAAAGTCCTAATGGTTTTATAAATCTTCCTATTTATAAAAATTTTTTTCATATGAGCATCGGGGACAAGGCTGTCTTGCAATTGTTGAGGTCACTAGTGTGCACCCTATTTCTTCCAGGATCACTCTTCATTTGTAGGTTTTAGTGGACTCCTACTACTGTGAAGTGGTTTTCATGGGACAAAGGCATTGTATTCCAAGATTTGAGAGATTGTAGAAATGAGCAGTAATGCCCTTCTTGCCATCTTTACAGAAAAAAGGTGATCTGGAAGCTGTTAGGCTTACTTACAGCAGTAGTACTTTCTGCACCTGTATAAACTCCAGGACATGTTTACTAACAGTGTTTGTTGCTGTATGTGCTGCAGCTTTGAATTTTTTTTGAGAGTTAATATTTTGGCTGTGGTGTCTTGTTATGAAAAGTACCTGAGTAAAAGTGTTTTTAGCATGTGCTTCAAAGATAGGTTTGACTGGGAAACTCAAAGCTCAATAGCCCATATCAACAGAAATTCACTGCAGCCTGTGTAATATTTGATGCGTCATAATTTATTCCAGTCTAACTTGCACACAACACACAACTATTAGATCCTTAAGATCAAACCTGTGTTATTCTTTTGGTCCACTGCAGTGTAGTAAGCCATCAAACGCCCCTATTTGAAACTAAGAATATTACATGAAATTGGTTGTTTGGCCAAAAATGGGCAAATGATGTAATTTGGTAAAAAAAAAGACAAAACCCCAAAACAACAACCATAATTTTTATGTGTTGAGTTTAGAATAAAAGCAATTATACCGAAATTGCATGATTTAGCACTGTCAATAACAAGGAATTTAAAAATGTCCTAATGCTTTTCAAGTAGCCAAAAGCTGAAAACAATCTAGACCCTTTCATTCCATTTGCATTAACACAGCAAAAATGGTAAAAAAAAAAAAAAAGAAAAAGAAAAAAAGAAGAAGAAGTGGCCACAAATGGCCAGGATAGAGCCCAGAGGGTTAATGTGTAAAATGTATAAGAATATTACTGATTACGAGGTAATACATTAATGTTAATAGCAACTGTAAGCTTTTTATTTTGAAGTTACAAGTATAAACAATGCTGTTACATTTACACTTAAATTTTTTACTATAAGTATGGACATGGAAACAAGTGAACAACATATTATAATAAGTTTAATTGGAATTCTGTACACTGGAAAAAACAACACATAAAAAATACAAACAAACAGCCAGTGCCTTCATTTGTCCGTTAAACGTCAAACATTGCATTGACCCGTAGTCCCTGCTTGTCAGCACATGCTTTTAAAAAGAGCTCCATGTCCTCGGCAAACTGGAAAACAAAGAGGAAGAAGTCCCTCTACACAAAAACACTGCAGATGACAGGCCAGGCAAACATCTATTGATCTGTTTGAATGCCTCCTCATTGTGTGAGCCTTGAATTTTTTTTTTAAGAAGACTAAGACCACAGTGAGGGCATTTCATTTTCATGGACTTTCCACAAGCCACAGTTTCATTTAGCACAGAGGGTAGAGCACATGAATGTTCTACCGAAGATTCAGAAAATGGTTTAGATGCTGGAGACAAGACATCGAGAGGGAGATGGGGCTCCACGGAGAGTTCAGTGGGGAGCAGGCCTGAATGCTGACATGACAATAAATGCCTCACGCTGTATGACTGTCATGTTACAGACAGGGCAGTGAAAGTGCACCGGCATATCATTTTGTCTGTAAGAGAGAAAAAAGAAGAAAAAAACAACAACATGTAATTTAAATGTAGTTGTATAGAATGCAATCAGTTTATCTAACAATCAGATTGTACATATTAACAAAAACATCCAAGCCATCCTCATAATGAAAGCAAAATGGTGTGGATCACAAGAGCTGTCAAGAAATGTGGTGAACAGGAAATTTTTTTTTATGAAAACACACTTTTTTCTCTTGCTGATGAATGCACTGAACTGTACAATGTGAAAAGCAACTTTTAAGTCAACAAAGAGACTGCAGAAGTGCTGAAAAGAAGTGCATATTTATAACTTTAACTATGAGGTATATTTAATATCAACATACCTTTGATTTTTAATGTGTCCATTTATTTGCTCCTCAATCTTTGCCGTGACAGTAGGGCTGAAAGTGGGCACAGAAGGCAGTGAAAAACATGTTGTGCATTCCTGCAATTCTGGCTTGGAGGCAGAATTCCAAATTGATATTTGCATCTAAAACAGAGAGAAAAACAGATAAACACTTAAGTTCAGGTTTTAGCAGAAATAACACGTTACAGTTAGCATGTAAGAGATTTGGGGAGAAAATCCTTTACAAAAACATAATTTACAAGACACTTTTATTTGTGACATATGTATCTACTGACATATAACAGACAATTTAACAAAGGCTAACTAAAATCTGGGCAATAAAAAAGCAGAACAGAATGGAACACCGAATATTAGTATTTATAAATATATAAATCTCTTTGTGACAAACTTTACAATGTTGATGCAGGTGGAATGAGAGACATGAATAAAGTGCAATATGCAGTAAATAGAACAATGTGCATTGATGTTACAGATAGTGAAAAGTAGTGAAGTGAATTTGTTCAATAACAAGCAAAAAACAAATATGCTTGAAATTGACCACTAAATGCTAACCAGAGGTGTCAAAAGTACACACATTCCTTACTAAAGTTTAGATACCTCGTGTCAGCTTTGAAATTAGTCATCGATGATTTTGACAGTCGACGAATTGTGGCACTTGTAGCCAGCAGGCAGCCCGTCAGCACAGTTCCTGCAGCTTTACTTTGATTTCTCCTTCAGCAGCTTAAAGCGATACAAATTCAACACAGAGAAATTTCACTTAATGTGAACAAAGATCTGAGTGAACAGAGGTCCCGTCTCCACAAATATCCTCACAGACAAAAACATAAATCATCTGTGTTTCAGTAAATTGTGTTCAAATATAGACGGCTAAACTCACCTGTGCCGGAGACACCATATTGCTCCTCACCTGCCCCCGCCCACCCTGTAGTTTTAATTAAAGCAGATTAAAAGAAGACTTTTGTTGAGTGGATCAAACTGAGCATTTTTTGAACCAAAAATGAAGAAATGGACCTGAAATGTCTGAAATATTTAAATACATTTTAAAATTGTAACCACATAGTTAAACTTTTCTTAACTAAGTTAAATTATCATGCAGTTAAGTAAAATATAATTCTAAAATTATATAATTTTATTTTTATTATATTATATTTTATTTTATTATTAATTTACATCAAAGTATTACCTCTTCTAACTATACAATAATAATAATAATGATATATTTTAATTTTGTAATGAGGGCAACGTGATTTAAAATATATTAACCTTCTGTGTTAAAAAATCTTTAATAATCCCAAATGTTTTATATTTCAGTCTTACAGTTTTCATAAAATCATTAAAGTATTTATTTAAGTTTATTTATTATCCGCTTCCTGGCTTCCATACAGATTTAAAAAAAAAGCCACACAAGAGAACGAAGATGATAAGAATGAAGCTAGCAGATGACGTAAAAACGAAGCACACAATTTTTTTGTTATACATTTTAATCATTTTTATATTAAAATCATATTTCCATCAAGAACCAGTTTGACTGAGCAGTGGGTTTGCTTCAGGTTGGCTTTGAGACAGAATTTACTTTTAATACTTTACTTTTTTACTTTTAATTTTATTGAAACAGAAGAAACAAAAAAAAAAAGTGACTGAAGCCTGCAGTCACAACACTCCCAACATGGCACAGAGGACTGTTATAAAGCATGTTTAATATAAAACAGTACAAAAGTGAAAAAAAAAGACATTTGGCAAGAATAATGTTTAAATGTGGGGAAAAAAAACCTGCAGAAGGATGCTGAGTTTGTGTCCTGAGGGTGGGTACAAGGACTCGGAGCTGCTCTGTGTGGAGTTTAAATCGATTTACAGTCTTTGTTGTGTCACAGACTGTATATATATATATATATATATACATTTAAACGGTGTACAGATACTGTATGTGCTGAGGCTGATGGTTCAGGTTTAAATCCTGGGTCCCAACCTTCTAATATTTATATTAGAAAGCAACATAATTTGGTTGCTTTAGGGATACAAACAGGAAGTGTAATGTTTGGGCTAAAGTCTGAGCCATGTTATGCTGTATTTCTTGAAATTTGGGCCATCAAAAATGTGCCAAATTAACTTTTAACACTTCCTGTTTGCAGTGCTGTCATGGCTGTGAGCACAAGTATCTCGAGTTTACTCTGATCCAGAAGAAAATCTAAAATGTGGATGATTTTAAGGAAAGTTCTGCATTTATAAGGAGTATCATTTTTTCTTTCATTTGCAAGAGGATTTCTTCATCTTTGCTTACTGTGTTATGAGTCGGAGAAGGACAGCTTTATGGAAGCAGTGCTGCAAATATAATCGGCAACTGTGTCACTGAGTAGCCAAATCAGCATCACTAACCTCCTGTTGGTTTTCAAAGAGGACAACTGGCATAAGTCTTTATATCTTTATGTAAAATAAACCTCATCATAACCAACACAGTAAGAGAATTTGAAGTTGACAGATTTGCTGCGCATTGGCTCCACCAGGTGGTGCTTTTGAATTCTTCCTCCACCTAACTCTTCATCTAATCTCTTAATCCAATATTAAAACAAATAAATAGATGAAATAATACACAATAAATAAAAGAAATAAAGAGGCCAGTGAAATAAGCATAAAACTCTTAGAATTGAATTTGAATTGTTTTACATATATTATAAATCATCTTGTGACACCTTAATTTTGCCTCTGCTTTGGTAACAATGAATGGAATAAGCAGAAAAAAATGAAAAGAGCCTGACCATCTGAGTCATGCGCAGCGTCACTGGAAACACTTCAGCTCACACCATCATCATTTCCACACTGCCGTGTCCTGAACACTGCCCCCTTTCTAAAAACAGCATTTAGTCCCTGCAAGTGCTAATTTTAAAGTGCCCCTGCTCCTCCTCGTATATAAAATTACAGTCACATAAAAAATAAAAATCACATCTTACCAGAGAGGTTGAATCCTCCTGCTTTGTTCTGCTGTGTAAATGTTAAATGTTAAAAAAAAACCCCAGAAAGCTGCCATTTGAATAAATCTACATTTAAAAGCTGTTTATTCCTGTCGAAGTGCAGGAAATATTTTTTGCTACTCTGTCTTCTTTTCAAAATCTTAATAAAAACACCCATTTCTCTTTAATCCCATCTCACTGAACAATTACCCTTCATAAGAATTTTTTTTTACTATTTTCTCCATTATTATTAAGGCTATAAAAAGATACTTTAAAGTATTTACAGATATTTATTACTTGTTTAAAACATCCTTGAGGTGTGAACACTGTGTAAATCTGTGCAAGTGCTTGCTTTGATATGAACAACAACATATGAACTGAAAGCTCAGCTGCATTACTCAAAGTAAGGCGACCGAAAGTGTAAAACTGAAGAAACTATTGTGCCTTGTTAGCTGCATTTTAGAGTCTTCCAAGATGAACCATAAACTGTTCCTAAGGGTCTAGTTATTTTTTATATTAATTGTGAAATTATTGCGTTTTTAATGACCAAGCTAAGTCAGCTATCTGAGGGGCACATTCACTTCTGGCTAGACAGTTAGCTATTAGCTTTTAGGGTTGTAACAGTGGTGCAAACAGAGGTGTTACTAATGGCATGGTGGTTGAAGTGCCAGCTAGCCATGAAATTGTTATTTTTGGATTTTTTTATATATTAAATTTCCATATACCTAAAAGCTGAAGTCAATCTGATATGCCTTGAATAGTACTTCAAGATATCTACAAAAGCAATGAAAAGGAAAACACAAATAATAGTCAGCACTTTGAAACATAGCTTAGCACCCATATACAAGTTTTGTGTGACATTTTTGATATGTGGTGTTTTTAAGGGTTGAGTGAATAAGGCCTGTGTAAAGAGGTTTATGCTGCTGCACCAAAAACCTCCTTGCAATTGCTTTGGTCTTCCATAGCTTGCGTGAAAGATGCCAATTTGTCTGCAAACAATTGCCAACTACTCTGTGAGCAAACTGTTAACAATGTGACACACACTAGGTAGTTGCTGAATGTTTGCAGACCATTTGGTTTCCTCCATGAAAAATACAGGTGACAATGTCAAATACAAATCAAAGCAATATCAAGGAGTTTTTTTTTTATACAGCCCTCTTTTTGGAACCAATGTGACTGCCAGCAACATGCAGAAACCGCTTGCCAGCCAATCATGTTATACACATTTTCCCTTTGCGTACAATAGCAGACAAGTTATGTGCGTATAATGCACGTGAATAGCTAAGTGATGATTCATGCCATTGTACACTTTGTAAGGAAAAGCTATGTATAATAAGGGGCCTTAAGGCACCACCCATTAGTGATCTTAACAAAGCAGCCATTTGGGTTGTTGGAGTCTTTGGTTAAAATTTGTGCTAGCATATAACATAAAGGCTCATATGAGTTTTTAACTTCTAATCTGGTCCTCATTCTACTGCTACAAGTGAAAATGTCTTTTGCAAATGATTCCTGTTATCCATATCAGAAGTATGTAACTTCTATGCTTATGAACCTGGGTGCTCCACTTTTGCTCTGACCATCACAGTAGTCTCCACTAAGTTTCATCTCATGGTTTCATGGTCTCAGATTTGTTTGTGGCAACAAAGCTTGCAGGAATTGTCAAACTCCTGCTCCATGTGTCTCCTCAGAAGGCTGCAGTTGACATTGTGTCACAGTTTTGCTGTACGTGTTTGGTTTGATGTTGATAGGAACTGAACCTGCAAATGCTGGCTGGCAATTTCACTTCAGTCGATCAGGGATCGCAGCACTGCCGCCATGCTGAGCCCTATAGCCAGGCTGCTCCACGTGGGCCTGTTCATGGCTCCGCCCGCCTTCTGTTGTAAAGTGTAGTTACAGGTAGGGGTGGCATCAGTTTGGGTAGTGCTACCCACAGTCCGTCTAGTCGTTTGGGCTATGCGTCGTAACAGGAAGTCGTGTTTAAGGGCAGAGTATTGATCCGGACCATACGGGACACTGAGAGTCTTTGTCAAAACCTCGTGACCTGGATATGTTACCTACAATAAAAGATATGGGAGAGCAGGACATACATTATGCATGCTTCCTTGGCAATATCATTAGAAACAAAGTATACATTTTCATTACTATGCAGATGATACCCAGCTTTATTTATGCATTTTAAGTCTTAATGTCTTAAAATACATTAAGACCTGGAAAATCTCCAATTACCTGATTATATTTTCAGACAAAACTAAGGGTACTGTACTGTACCTTAAAAATCTTAGAAATATGGTATCTAACCATATGCTTTCTCTGGATAACATTTCCTTGACCTTCAGTAACACTGTGAGGTTGTTATTTTTGACCAAGATATGTCCACATTAAACAAATATGTAGGACTTCCTTCATTTATTTGCATAATATCTTTAAAACTGGAACCATCCTGTCTAAAGTGACGCTGAAAAACGATTTCATATTATTTCTAAGATGGATTATTGTAATTCATTATTATCAGGTTGCTGTCATCACTTAGTGAGATCCAGTGAGTGAGTTAGTGAACATTTGTGAAGCAGCTAAAAAGCCAAAGACACTGCAAACTCACAGGTTAACATGTCAGTCACATGGTATGCCCAACCGTAAGTACACCCTACTTTATTGTGTTTTTATTTTTCACTCTAACATGACCATAACTCACAAAACAAACATCATGTGGCAGCGAATGTTTAATTGGGTTGAAGAATAAGCTGCACTGGGCTGTAAAGTCTTACTGTGAATGTGTAGTTCCCAGGTAGCAGCAGACGGTAGTATTCCCCATGTTGATTGGTTCTGAATGGACATATATTCCTGCGACCTCTGACCTCCACTACTGCGTTCTCCACTGGCTCGCCTGAACCATCAAACACTTGACCTTTGACACCTGAACACCACATACCGGGTTATTATCAAGTACTGATACTGCTTCAATAGAGACAAGTGGACTCAAAGACAGAGACATACTGACCCAGGTGGACTTGCTGGACGTAGGCCAGCAGAGCCTTTTTGTTGTCGTTCCACAAAGCAGGAAGCTCTCTGGCTGGAGGATACTTGCAGCAGGACAGTTCCAGAGTGATCTCCAAACATTGCCCCCACACATAGTTGTAATCCTGCATCCCACCTGATGCACACAATCAAACACATTCAGGTCCACACTGATGCTGAGACTAAGCTGCAGCAGCACAGATGGTCAGATGCCACTCTTACAAATATTTCACTGACCATTTTAAACATCAGTTAATACGTTTGGTCCATGAACTGTCAGAAGATTAAGGAAATTCAAAATCTCTTTAAACGTGATTCTAAAAGGTATTTGATCTTTATGTCTTAATTTTGAGTAACCTCAGATAAGCTGTCTATTGGAGTAGTCCTGATTGAATAACCAGGTTTCTGGACTGTAAAACAGGATCCCTGTCGGTTTCTAATGAAAGCGCACAACAAGAGTCAAATCTCCATTGTGACCATCAAATGAACCCCTCGAGCCGTGCACAGTTCCCACATACGTGATAAGGTTACTGCGATCAGGTTTCTGCAGGACGACACCAGAGCAGGCTGTGCGGGCGCTGAGCGCTCAGCAGCTCTTCATCGAGTTTCTTTCTCTCTCCAAATATGAGGAGATTATTTTAAAATGAAGATTATGTTTGAAAAATCGCAGGAAGTTCTTTTTTAGTTGTGAGAGATGCATTCTGGGTTGTTCCTAGTCTTAAAGCTGCTTAGCTAGGGGATTTTTTATTTTATTTTATGGTGACTTGGCGTATTTGTTTGGTCTTGTTTAACCTGCAGTAGTTTCCAAAGGTTCCGGTAACGAGTTTCAAATTCATGACAATTAAAGAAAAAAAAAAAGGTTTCTCTACTTTTGAAATTAAGCATGAAGTTTGTCACAGATTAAGAGCTCAAAAACAGTCTATCAAAAGTTTCATGTGAGGCAATATATGAGTTTATCCAAGATTTAAGAGGATTTATTTTAGAAGTGATTCTTTGTGTGTCACACAGAGATGTTAATGCCAGGGACTGTCTTCTCCTTTGAGGTATTAGAAAATTTTAGGGAAGCTAAAGTGATGAGTGTAAGAGTATTTCCTGTCCTGTAATTTTGCTGGGATGCTTGTCCTCCACTTTCACAATAAACCTCACATTCCCACTATCCAAGATAGCATTTAAAGTTGAAATTCACCCAACTTTCCAAGCAACACAAGCAATGAATGTCTTGCTTTATTAAAATAGGAAAAAAGCTGCTTTGCTCAGGTTTTCAGTTTGATCAAACAACTGCAATAGAAAATTGAAGAAATTGGCTATTATTTCTTTTCAAGATAACTCAAAGAGTGAAGTTGGAGAACCTGTAAAAGCTTTGTACAGTCATGACTCTTTGCACTGTGAAAAACAAGTGCACTCTGTGATTCAGCAGCTTGTAGAGCTGTTTTGTGGCAAAAGTTTGAAGTAATGGTTCTCTGTATGACTTTATCAGACTCTGTCATTACTATAGATAAATTTTGGTCCACACTTCTTTACAGCGTTGCTTAGGTTCATTCATTTGCAGCCCGAGGTCTGGACTTTGACTGGACCATTGCAGCACCTTGATTATTATCATTATTATAATTATATTTTTTTGTCATTCTGTTGGAGATTTGCTGCTATTCTTGGGATAATTATCCTGTTGATCCAATTTGGGGAAAAGTTGATGGTCGACTCAGTGACTGCAAGGTGCCCAAACCATCATTCTTCCACCCCTGTGCTGACAGCTGGTATGAGGTGTTTGGTTTGTGCATCATGGATAAACATTTCCACTTTGTAACAGTGTTGTGTCTTGTCTTGTGTTTTGTTCAGATGATACTTTACAAACTTTAACCTTTATCATGCTAACTGAGGCCTGTAGGATCTGAGATGGCGTGGGTGGGTTTTGCACGGTCTTAACTTCTTTACTTCAGAGAGGAATTAAAGAGTAAATACAAAAATATGGGGTAAATCTGATCAGATGTCCACTTCTGGGGAGATTGTGGTACTGAATTAACACAAACCTGAATTTTCCAGACCTGCAACCTGCAAAAACTTTAGCTTTTACTGTGGTGCTTATTCGCAGATGATCAGGTAATAAAGTTGATTTGATTATCAGCACCTGGCTGCTACTTACAGTAATAATAATTGGCGCAGTGAGGATGCACTTAATTTTTCACAGGACTGCACTTCAATATAAATAAATCATGGAGCAAAGCTAGTAGTGGTTATTGTAGTGTTTTTTCTACAATGCTAATCAGAAGCTAATCTTCTGTATGTTCTCTATAGTATCACAAATCCCTGTGTGATCATTTTGCTATCCTTCTCTAAACACTTCAGTAGTAAATGAACTATTTGACAGAACCAGATGAACGTTTCCTGTTTCCAGTCTCTCTGTAAGCTAAGCTTAGCCAAACTCACTGACCTTCCAGACGATACCACTGGAATCCGTTGGTGATGCCCTCCAGGAATGGCCTGCTGTCTATACAGAAGTTACCTCGGTACATGGAGGCGTGATTGTGGGAGTACTCCTTAGCCAGGTGAACAAACACATCATTATCAGGAGCGATGCTAGCCCCGCCCACCAGTTCGCTACCTGTTTAAATGATGAGAGCAAAAGCCTGTGATTGGTGGTGATTATTTGAGCTTTAGAATTATTTTGTTTCCAGTAGCACTTCCTGTTGCCTTTTCCTGAAGTTTTCCCCAAGTTTTTCTGTGTGTGAGTTTGCAGGCTGGTAAAGTTAAGGCAGTAACTCTGACTAAATGACTGTTTTTAATCAAATAGTTCTACTGAGCAGTTATAAATCTGATTATCTCGATTAACACACTTCCTTTTCTGCATTTTGAAGTCAAAACAACAAACTCAAACAATACAAATACAAAACAAACAGGCTTTAAGCCATAGCTTTATGTGTTCCCACATAAACATCTGAAGTACAGGACTTAAAGAGTTTTAGCCGTTCAAATAAGAGATTATGAGAAGCTAGATTTATTCAAACTCTTTTTAGAACAAGAGAGCTTGCAGCTTATCTGAGTCCTTAAAGTATCCTAGTGCCTAAAATACCTCAACTGACTCCTCCAACAGGTTTTTAAAGCTCAGGTCTTTTATTAGATTTTTTTTTTTTAAGGGAGAATGGCAAACAAATATTTTATTTTATGCTGAAAACTGGTGTTTAATATTCCTGTGAATATACCTTCTGGTCTGAGCCTCCCCTAATGATTTCTGCATTTGTAGTTTCTTTCTTTCTGTCAGTACCCTGAGCCCGTGGCCATGAGGTAACAAACTGTTAAATTAATATCTTTTCTTATTATTCCAGCTCTATTATCTTTGAAAATTATAAATATTCCACATCTCGCACATGAAGGAAAGCTACGCTCTTCTGTAGAGGTGCACTCATCACACATTCTCTGTACTTGTATATTTGTCTGGTGGGTCTGAGGGCCTATTTCCTGCTTTGCACTTTCCATTTCACATGCTGATATGAAGCAAATAAGAAGCTCGAAAAACATTCTACAAAGATCCACAAAAACACGACTGTGGGACTGTTGTGGACGACCAGCTAAAGTCAGACTGCTGGATCTGCCGCTTACCGCCGTTGCTGTTGTCATAAGGGTAACTGGCCACCACAGCGCCTCCATGAAGGTTTGCAGAGAGAACAAAACTCTCCGTCCTCAACCAGCCAATCACTGCTTGGACCTGAAACACATGATAGCATCCTGATGACAGAGGAAACTTAAAAACGCTGTCTCGTTCCAAAGCGAAACCAACCTCAGCTTCCCTTCTCTCCTCAAAGAGCTGCTGACTTTGGAGACCAGCGAAAGCATCCGGGAAGTCCCTGTTCAGATCAATGCCATTGCCGTTGTACCTGACGGAGAAAAACGGTCACATCACGCATGAAAATGCTGTTTTCATTTCTGTATCAGGTCAGAGCACACAGCCTTCTTGGGTGGACTTCCCCCCTTGCCTGGGCAATTACAGTGAAATCAGGAGGGGTGTGACTTCACCTCTTAGACTTCTGTGCTAATCATAGTTTACCTCTTATATTTCTTGTCTATTTAAAAAACAAACTTTGAAAACTTTTCAAAACTTACAGGAAATTATAAGTCATTTAGTGCTGCTAAGGCTCCCAGCAAAGGCTGAGCAAGGCACACGTGTTAAAAATAGTTCCCATGATACTCTGAGTGTGCAGGATGAGAGTGTCTCTATTTAAGAGCAGCTGCTGAGACACAAAATGATTTCTGTGCACAGTTCACTGTTAATTACTGACGATAAGAGATCACAAACATCTTTTTCATTGCGATCAGGCTGTTCTTGTCACTGCCGTCTTCTGCTGCTGTTTTCAGACATTTACAGAGGGATCTGATTTTGTCAAGTTTATTTGAACACTACACAAAGGAAATCCACATTCACAAACATCCTGTGTTCTACTGGGATTTGTTATATTTCAGATCAGAGCGAGGGCCGTCGAGGGGATCTCGATCGCATGACATCACGAGTCATGATTGACCTCACAGGACTCTAACGGAACTCAGAGCTATGACTTATTTAGAATTAAATTTCTCTTACATCACAATTTGTCATTGTGCTGTCCCTTATTTTCGGTCATATTAATGGTGGATGTTCATATTAAATGGGGCGATCGTGGCTCAAGAGTTGACAGTTCGTCTTGTAATCGGAAGGTTGCCGGTTCGAGCCCTGGCTCCCACAGTCTCGGTTGTTGTGTCCTTGGGCAAGACACTTCACCCGTTGCCTACTGGTGGTGGTCAGAGGGCCCGGTGGCGCCAGTGTCCGGCACCCTTGCCTCTGTCAGTGCGCCCCAGGGCAGCTGTGGCTACAATGTAGCTTCACCATCACCAGTGTGTGAATCTGTATGTGAATGGGTGGATGACTAAATGTAGTGTAAAGCACTGTGGGGTCCATAGGGACTAAGTAAAGCGCTATACAAATACAGGCCATTTACCATGATATAATCCGTTTTTTTTCTTTTGGCTCTGTATGATGTCGCATATATATACTGAGGTTTGTGACAATAACTAGTTACTCTCGCCCGTCTTTCTCAAACCTAACCGCTTGCGGCCCCTCTCTGAGCCTGTTTCTGCCTGAGGTTTCTTCCTGTTAAAAAAACGTTTTTCCTTCCCACTGTTGCCAAAGTAAGACAAATGTACAAATACATTATAGAGCCTCTAATTTGTCAATTAGCAATAATTAGCAGATATTAGCTGCTTTGTTTATATTGTTCATATTGCATCTGCACAGTTTAGTTTAGCTAGCATTAGTGATAGGTTAGCACTAAAACCCCAAATGGTCACTTCTCACAAAAACCAACATGGAAGCAACAAAAATGCCAAAGCTGAGCCTTCAAAATGCCAGAGTCTGAAACCAGTCAGTGATGTCACTATGGTCGTGTCGATCGTTTATTTACTGACTATAGTTTCAGACCGTGGATGAGCGAAGTAGCTGCACTGAGGCTCAGCATGAGATAAATAAGGATTATTTTGATCTGTCAATCATGTAAAGCCGCTGTAGTGAAGTCCAAGAGTAAAAATATGTACCTTTTATCATAAAAGGCCTGCTCTGAGTGTCTTATCTCCAAATAATGATCCAATTCTTCTTTGAAATCTCAAAAGTGAACTTCTTCCCTCATCTACCTGAACTCTAGAAGAAAATTAATCCATCCAACGGGACGACCCAAATCTTCTTTCTGTAGGAATTAGTGCCACCATATTAAAACAAGACTTCACCATCTCATTTGTCATCTCACTCACTTTCATGTGCTTAAGTGAAATGTTTCCTTATAAGGTTTGGAAAGCAGTGACCCCAAAGAGACCACACACACACACACACACACGGACTAAACCTATATGGGAGGCAAGTCCACATAATGAGACTGTTCCCACAAGCAGTTGCTGCAGACATGAGTCTACTGTAAACAGAATATACGAAGACGACGAAACAGTCATAATCAGATGCTTACAGAGTATAATTGTGTGTGCATGTGTGTGATATAGATCTACAGTGTGTGTGTATGTGTTTCTCTTGCCAATCAAAGTATTTTGGGTGCAGCAATGTAGCTTGGGCTTTACAAAACAAACAAGCTGTGACTGCAAGATTATGTCTGTGTGTCAATTTGGCATTTAATCTTTCACTCTCTCACTCACACACTCACACACACACACAAAATTATTCTTTGGAAACGTTAAAGTGTGAGAAATATTTTCCAGCGTTCATGTTTTGGTATCAATGTGTTTATGCTAACAGTGGATCCCGTGAAGAGGGCTGCTGATGGTGCGTAGCTTCACTAATCCAAGGAACTTTACAGCCAGTCAGCTGTAACTAAGTGGTTTAAAAGTCAAGTACTGCCCTTAAGCACGCTCCTCACAAATTTGAGGAATGTAAACTTTTAATACTACTTATTATTGTTATTGTTATTATTGTTATTAAATGCTGCATAAATTTGTAGCTTTGCCTCTAAAAATATGAAATAAGACAGCCTCTCATAAGTCACCATAGTTTCAGGCTATTTCAGTTTGGCATTATTCATTTGTACTACAAACCTAATCAACTGGAGACGGTGCAGGAAAACAACAGGATGTCCTGAAACACAATGCACATCGTGGTGACAGGTGGTGTTCCTGCACTCAATGCTCCGCTGCTGAATGAGGAAGAAAACTGTAACTGCAGATCTGTTGATACCAGACTTGGAATGTCTCCATGTGTCTGTGGATGAGACGACTCCCGGCTGTGGAAGTGCATATAAGAACAGACTGCCTTTCAAGATATGTTGTTACAGCTTCCCAGAATCACAGTGACAGAAGATGCATTTACAGAGGCCAGCTCAGTCGCTGTGCAGCCTTTACTTTACAGGGGATAGTATTATATTTCCTACATATTCATTTTGTTTTGTGCAGTAAAAACAAGTGCAAGCTGTGCCTTTTAAAATCTGAAATCCATTTTTATATATCTGACATAATTTTGGGTGCAGTTATTTTTATTTATGTGGCATTAATTTTACTGTCTAGTAAAATTCTAAAATTTTTAATATTAAACTTTATTTTTCTTACTTCAGTGATATTTCTTAATCTAAGCCCTTTCTAGCGTGCTGTCAGTACTTTAATTACAGAAGAGGATCTGCATACTTTGTCCAGCAATGCTTTTAGCCAGCAGCAATGTTTTTCCCGCAGCAGGCAGTGGCTTTCAGTTGTCGAGGCTCTAAAAAGCCACCGTACGTGACCTGCTGAGCAGCCAACAGCAGGCTACATCAAAGACGAGCAGGTGAACACAGCAGAGCATTTAGCAGCTACAGAAGCAGATATGTCCCTCAGGAGGGAGTCATGCATATTGCATGAGCATGCAGCAAATAAAGCTCTGAGTCCTCAACAACAGCTCATTTGTTCTCTTGTACAATTTCACTTCCTACTGTTTCACTTAAGAGGTTAGTTCATGCCTTTGAGTTCATCATTAGCTAAAAATACACACTGCACACAGAGAGCAACACAATCAACGGTGTTCAATCTCTCTTTTAGTTCTGTTTTTGGTCTCCACCTCCCAGTCAGGAAACGTCTGTTTGCCGTCTTAATGTTTTACCAGCTGCTGATGAGCACAGGGTGTGCAGCAGGTCTCTTGAAATTTAAAACAGAGGTAAAGCTGTTTGCGTTACCTGCCCTGGCTGTTGTAGCAGTCCTTGTCTGCTACGTCAAAGCCGTCTGGATTCATCGTCGGCAGGATGTGGATGCGTGTGCTGTTCAGCAACCGCAAGGACCATGTTTCGTTGCTACGGTAACTGCGCACCAGCTCATCTATTAGCTGAAGGAGCAGCACTCGCCCAAGAACCTGAAAGCACACGAACACAAACACGCAGAAAGAAATTCAGGTAAAAACAAATGTTGTGATGGAATTTATGGCTTGTCCTCACACATAAGTCATAAGTGAACAGCACAAAGATTATGCATTATGCAACATTCATATTTAGGAAAATGGGTGAACAGATGGTAGTGCAGGTATGGTCAGTCAACTGTGAAGTAATCACTTCCACTTCCACCAATATAACATAATGTCTTTCCACCATAACGAAAGACATTATGTTATTCACCTCCCACATGCAGCTGGGCCATTCCCAAGGCTTATCGTAGAGCTAAAACACCCGTCAAGGTCAGTCCTCCTAAATACTCCACTGAGACTAACCTTTGACTAACACATGACTACATATGAAAAAGAGTAGAAAAGATGATGTTTCCAGGGTTAATTTGCGTATCTGAATGGGTTAATTAATGGAATAGAATAGAATAATTCTTTAATTGTCCCACAAGGGAAAATTTGGTTGCATCGGCAGCAAAAACACACATATACAAACAGAACAGAAACACAATTTTTACATATTTACATCATGGACAATAGTTACCAAAGCAGAGTACTGTACAGTTATTAAAAATAGAGCACAGATAAGTGGCAAACCCAGGTTGTAGTGTGCAAACAGAGCAGGATACTGAAGGATGTTTAAATAGTTAAGAATATTTAGAATAATTAGAAAAGTGAAGATTGTGTATTGTACCTATGCATTAAAAAGTAGACATGTAACTTCCAATAAGTTAGTGCATAGATAAACTGAGAAAAGTAATATGCAAGTTATAACAGTAGAATTTGTTACAGCACTGATGTAAACATCTAAGTTTGTTGGGAGCAGTTTTGATTGTGCAGTCTGACAGCTACAGGGAGGAAGGACCTGCGGAAACGCTCCTTCATGCATCGAGCATGCAGCAGTCTGTCACTGAAGGAGATCTGCAGCTCAGCAACATTTACATGCACGGGGTGGGAGACTCTGTCCATCAGAGATGTTATTTTGGCCAGAGTCCTTCTGTTTCCCACCACCTGCACTGGATCCAGCGTGAATCCCAGAACAGAGCTGGCCTTCTTAATGAGTTTATCCAACCTCTTCCTCTCAGCTGTCGATAAACTGCTGCTCCAACATACAACACTGTAAAAAATGACGGATGCCACCACAGAGTCATAGAAGGTCTTTAAAAGCGCTCCCTGGACTCCAAATGACCTCAGCCGCCTCAGCAGGTAGAGTCTGCTCTGACCCTTCCTGTAAAGAGCATCAGTGTTGTGGCTCCAGCCCAGTTTATTATGAACGGCAAGTTTACGCCAAGTTTACGGCTGTCCAGGGTCCATTTTGGCTTAATGGATGGTTTGCAAAGTTTGCAGTGAAAACTGCAGTGAAGTCAATAAATATTCCAATCAATTCAGGTTTCCTTTAGTGATATGTGTGGAAAGTTTAAGTATTTCCAGATGAGGACATTAAGTTTAGTTGCAAATTTGTAAATGTGCTTTCAGTATAGTGACAACAGACTCAGTTAATGTGGATAACTGACATATTTACTAAAACTGAGTAAAAGTACAGGCAGAGTTATAGGTTAGCAGTCTAAGTTATTTTCAGTTGTTAGCTCTTCAATAATTATATAAATTTCTTTAACGTGAAGAAATGTTTATTTTCATTGTTTAACAGCTTTAGTTATTTTTTTTTATTTAGAGTGGTTTATTTTTCATAAACTTTACACTGCATTGCTTTCACTTTATTGGACTAACAGTTAGTTTAACATTTAATTTCACTCCACCATTCTTTGTTTTCTGTGTGTTGACCTTGCATGTTCCTGCCTGAAGAAAACAGCGGGGGAAGAAGTGATGTCGTGAGTCAGCAAGGAATTGAAATGCAATCCAGGGACGAGTCACGATGAGGCATTTTTTCCGGATACAGGCGGCTTATTGGACGATGAAGACAGCATAGGGAGGAGGAAGAAAAACATCTTTGTGAATGAATGAGAGCCTTGGGAGTGGGAATGACAGAAGGGTGGGAAAGGTGTGTATCCAAAACCACATCACACTCACACACACACACAGACACACACGTCAGGACTAGCGCTGCCTCCGGCCATCATATTGCTTTCCTTCATCAAACTCCCTCCATCTTTTGTCTCTGTACCCATCACACGAAAACACACATTTTTATTTTTATTTTTGCATCTTTATAGTGTGATTTATCTTTTTACTTTATATCAACTGAACATCACTAACACGCTCTGTTAGATTATGCAACTGTTCCTTCATCAGGGTCGGCGTGGAGCCAGTTTTCAGTACGGGCAATTTCATCCACCAACACTTTTTTCATGGTTGAAGAAATTCGAGAAGTAAGTAAAGTAAGCTACTGTTAGCTCTGGCTTTACTGTGTTTTGTACAATCAACATGTTCCTTATCAGTCTCTACGGCAACACTAACTCGGGGATAATTGGCCTTGGACGAGCTGCTCTTTGCTGCTCTTCCTTCTGTGCTAAATGGCGCTAAAAAGTCAGAAAGCAGAAACCATCACATAGCAGCTGCTGATTCAAGCACTCAGGAGGCCCAGGTCTGTCTCCACAGAGAGGAGAGGACGCCCTGCAGCTGTGAGCAGCCACGCCTCGAACAGCAACTGAACTAAACTGAACTGAACTGAAATAAAACTGAACTGAACTGAACAACCAAATGGAAGAGTTTTAAAAAAATCCCCTATAAAGATGATGCGATAGAGGACAAAACAGGTTTGTTTTCAGCAGGGTATAAACTTGTCTGCTGTAAATAAGGGCATTTTAACATCGAAGTTTATTCATCCAGTCACCCCCAAGCAGTCGCGGCAGATGGCCACCCTCCCTGAGCCTGGTTCTGCTGGAGGAGTTTTTCCTTCTCACCATCGCCAAAGCGCTTGCTTTGATTGTTGGGGTTGTCTCTTTTTTCTTTGTATTATTGTACGATCTTTTCCTGACAATACAAAGTGCCCTGAAACAATTGTTGTTGTGTTGTTGTTGTTCAGATTTCGGCTTCCCTTCATCCCTCTCTGCGGGCACAGGTGATATCGGCAGTTGACAGCGGATCTACTCTAGATTGTGTTTCTTGGGCTTCACTTGAGCAGTTTTGCATGTTTCACAGTTCCCTTCACATTCTGTCTTAAATAGGCTGTGTTTAAATGAACGCCCCTTGAAGTTTTATTCTCTTCCTATGACATCATCCAGATCCACGAGTAGAAAAAACATCTGAAATGAAGCAGTGTGAGGCTTGAGCTTTTGGCTTACACACACTGACCTCATTATTTGAAACTCTGCCCCCCCCATATCGCTGCAGTTTAGAAAAATGGGAAATAAGGGCAGTGATTTACTGAACTAGGTAAATGTAAAGGAAAATATCCCAAGTAAGTATATACTTAAAAAAGTCAAAGGTAGGTCCAATCTAATTACTGATATCTTCAAATCTAGCAGCCATTACTGGATGAAACCAAAACATATGGTGGTGTTTGCCACCCATACAGTCCATGTGTCACTGAACAATTCCTCCAACAAGTTTAGATAACAAGATTAAAGCCGTCCAGCTGTGTTTATGTGACCTAATGTTGAGTGAAGCTGAGGTGAACCTCAGTGTTTGTCTACAACTTGCAGCTGAGCTTCCCTGGAAGACAAGGGGAACATGAACACCTGAGGCAAATTCATCAGGATTCATCCTTCAGGAAACAGAAATGTCCAAAATCACACAGAGATCGATCCAAGAGTAGAAATCACATTTGAGGAGAGAAACGTGAACTCTCAGTGACACTGTAGGAAAATACTTTCACTTTAAAATCAGGATCTATCCCCTGGGGAACATGAACATCTGTGCAAAAGCTGTTGAGTCATTTACGATACGACAGATATTGTCATTAAAAGAGTCAAAAAATAGAATTAAAATAACAAACAGGCTTCCAAGTGAATCCAAAGAAAGGTCAGTGCAGCACACTCAGAGTACGAGGTTAATGTGTGAAAGGAAGAAGTGCCTCCTGTTTAAATTTTTATTATTGTCCTTCAGGCAAAGTTTAAAGCCGCTGAAAGTTCTCTGTTTGATTTAGTGTTACTAAACATTTCTAACACGCAAGACTGCATTCCTGCTGCTGACATGATTCTGCCATGCCATGATGGCTGTTTGTATTTTGCACATCTGAGCACCGATGACAGAAACATCCTCCGTTTCTGTCATTCGGTGGATATACGATGGATGTTCTTTGCTTCCTGCACTGCAAACTTTACTAAACAACTGTTTCCAACTTAAAGCGCAGCTTAAAATAAATTGGACGTGAAAAAGAAAGTACACCCTCTTTCACTTTAAGCCCTCGGTTAATAAAAACAGTCATCTGGTCCTTAAGTCTATCATTCTACACCTCAGAGATCAGACAGTGCAACGCTCAGAGATACTGCAACAAACTCCAAGAGCTCCACCTCAGACTCTAAAGGCCTCAGTTAGCATGCTAAATGTTAAAGTTCATGACAACACAAGTTAGAAACAAACTGAGCAAGTATGTTTTGTTTGGAAGGGTTGCAGAAGAAAGCCTCTTCTCTCTAAAACAAACATGAAAGCACGGCTTTGGTGTGGAAAAACACATCAGGACAAACTGCAACACTTCTAAGTGGAAATCTTTGTCCATGATGCAAAGCACCCGAGGAAGCAAAACACCTCATACCAGTTCTCAGCACGGTAGTGTGGGGATGATTTGGGCACCTTACAGTCATTGAGTGGACCGTAAACTCGTATAGCAAAGTATTCTAGAGTCAGTGTGAGACCCACAGCAGTCAACAGTTATTATTGCTAAACGCGTCTCAACAAGGTGCACGGTGTAGTTTGTTTCTCACACACTGATTCTGCATTGTAGTTTAGTTTTGTTGAATAAATGATGACACAATGTAAAATGTTGGGTTGTTGCTAATCTGAGGTTGTTTTTAAATAACTTCATATTTACACTTTTAATATAATTTTCTCCTCCCGTGCTTTTCCTTTTAGCTCTATAACGTGTTTTTGTTGTTGTTGTTTTTGTACACATTTTGCATCAAATACACTAAATATGTAATAATAGATATGTTTCATTTTCAGAATGCTTCAACCTGCCCCTGTGCTATGTGATACAGAAATTAGCTGGAAGTCAGTGTGGGGAAAATAAAGATGCGATAAAATGAAGATACAATAAAATTTGTCTGTCTGCCTGATCAAGCAAGTCAGAGTTTCTCAATGTTAATCAGTAGAAGCTGTGGCAGAAAGCATGTGAGCCTCACAGGAAATATACTCTAGTCAGAAACTCCTGAGTACTCACAGACAGTTCACGCTACACGACACCTTTTCAGCGTTCCCATTCGCCACCCTGCTGTTTCCATGTGTATGTATGGGGCCGTATTCCTCTGAGCCGACATACTCCACTGGTTCTGTTTGTGCGTGTGTGTCCAGGCGTAACGTGTCTATTTAAGGACACTTCCATTGACTTTCACACACATTTGCAGTGTGATCAGCTGTCCACTGTCACCATGGCAACCTGACACTGGTCAAAGGTTTTAGTCTGGTTTTTAAGGACATTTGTGCAGACTCAATTTGTCTCATCCCAATGGAATTATTAGACTATTAAATGATGGTTGTGATTACATTGTGTTATTAGAATAACCTTTGTGTTAACAGTTTGAATGTCTTCTGTTTTTTCCAGTCAGAACAAGTTTTGTTCTGACTGGAAAAAACAGAGCTTGTCTATTTGTTGATCAGTGGTGCCACAGATTTCATCACACTGATGACCTAACTCTGGCTGAATGTGCTGTAACACCGCAGATCAACCAAATCAGTTTCCTCTAAGAACAAAAGTTTGAAACTTTTGCACAAAATCTGAGAATTGTCAGGTTAAAAATGCAGATAAGGTGTTTTAGTTTGTAAAAATGTCTCTCAAAGGTCAAACACTCAAATACTGCATACTGTCAATAAGAATACAAGCTAACTGAATTACCTGTGTACTCTTGCGAAGAAGCAAATAAAATAAAAAGTCAACTGTCATTTTTTTTTATCTGCAGAACTGCACAGATTAAAGGTCTCAGTGCCTTGCTGAGCTTTTCATCTGTACACTTCTACATGGGAAGGCAAGGCAAGTTTATTTCACAATTCAACAACAAGGTGATTCAAAGTGCTTTACAGAGACATTAAAAACAAAAACAAATAAAAAGCATGATTTAAAATTGATTAAAAAAACAAACAAAAAAAACCAGTGTCAACTCTTCTCAGTTTTTAGGTGGTAGAATCTGGTATTAGGTACTGTTTTAGTACTACTGGGGTTCCAAGTGAGCTGAGTCGGGCCAAAGATGCGATGTCAACAGAATGCACACCACTGATTAGCCAAAGAGTGACATCACTGGATGATCATAAAAGTGACTCCTTCACGTCATGGCACAATTTTCATTTTGAACCATTCCTTGATCGTGACTAGATGTCAAAAAAGACTACCAGGTCAATGCCAAAGTGTTTGCTGGGTTTAATAAGAAACTTTTAAGGAAATATAAAATATTATATTAAAGTTTCCTTAAACCACTTCTGTCTGTGCTCAAAGAGCTGTGCGACCAAAAATCCTGCATAATGCTGTTTCCCTGTTTAGGTTGTTGCTAGACTGAATCACCTGAGGGATGCTGTGCTGTGATTAGCTTAGATGCTGTTTGCTACACTTCACTCTCTCCTGATCCGAGTTTGGTGTAATCAATCCACCTGTGCATACAGTTGTAATTATGAGTGTTGCTTTGTGATGTGGTTAAAAAGGAGGTTGTTCATGCTTGTTTTGTGGTCAGAAGAAGTGAAGCATCATATAGGGTTGTTTTCCTCTAAACATCCACCAGGTCATTGAGACGCCGACTAAGGGTGGAGTTGGTTTTTGGCCACATCCTAAATGAGCAAATCTTCAAAAACTTGAAAATGCCATCTTTCAGATCATGTGTGTTACATGGCGTGACAGACAGAAGCCACACCTTCAATCCATTTCTGTTATAAAACGGATCGAGTGAGGCATTCAAAGTCAACTAACTGTCAAATCCTTATGTTCTCTATACTATGAGCTTCATTCAGATGTACAATAACCATTCATATACATATAATGGGAGACATTTTTTTCCATTACAGGTATTCCCAGTTACTAACTGACCTGCCTAAGTATACAAAGAACCTGAGATTAGTGTTTCTTGATTCGGTTGATTCGGCACACTGTCCATTTCTATCTGAGAATTATGCAGGTCATCACACACTCTGTTGTCCACACACAAAGGAATCCACGGGCTCTGGACTCTGAATGGCTTTTGTTGATCTCTTTTGTCCTCCTTTAGTCCTGCTTCCTGTTAAAAAGGAGTGGCACTCTTCTGTGTGTGTGCGTGTGTGTGTGTGTGTGTATTGTCTTACCTCATTTCCATGCATGTTACCCACATATTTGAACTCTGGGATGCCAACTGTGTGCTGGTGAGGACTGACACCCAAAGCCAACACCCACAGCTGCTGACCTGAGAGACACGCAGAGCAAACAGAGCCTTCAGGAGAAAGCTAAGAGTTACAGTTTGTGCTGCTCACATCTGCTTAATTGAACATGATGTGCACTGGGAGATGAAAATGTGTAATTAGGTAACGGTTCATTGTCAACTGGGTTAGTTAAGAATGCTAAGAAACGCACACCAGCATGCACAAAAATATTCGCTACAGCAAAGCTTTTCACACTTAAGAGTGATAACGTGCAATAAAAGCAAGTACACACAAAATATGACAGAAACTAACAATAAAAACAACAAAACAAATAAAACTCTGAATGTCCACCCGGCCTCCAGAGACCTGCTTCTCTAAATTTGCTGTGAGCGTTCACAGCTGACAGACTGACTGAGGAGAAAAATTAATTACAATATTCAATATGGTCAACATTCAGTACTAAGAAAGTAAGCAGCAATTCAAAACATGTGAACGTAAAAGTGGTCTCTCTCTTCACATCCAGTGACTCTGTTCTGTCCACATAAGTATCCCATGATGCCTTTCTGCCTGCATCCTGTGAATTACTGCTATCTGTTGTCTTTGGAGGTCAGTTTGATGATAAGCCACCAGAATCCATCCTTGCAGGGCCCTCCCTGTGTCCTTAACAAATTCTGGAGCCTTCAGATTAGTATGCACTACTGTGTAAAAGTCCACTCCTTATTTCTTTATATTATTAATGGTACAGTTATGTATTAAAAATTACAAGGTCCACAGTCCAGTTAAGTAAACAGTAGAAAGTTAATTATCACTCCACCAGATTTGTTTCACTGACTTTCAGTCCAGTTTTTTATATTTTAACAATTTTTATATCAGGCTATAAGCTTGATTATTTCTGCTGTAAAGTTGTTCATTTTAAGAGTCTATGGGAACTAGAGAAACTGCAGCTGCGCATTTATTCCCCTGTTCACTTCCATTTTATTTCTGGAAACATCTGGAATACCATTTTACTTTAAGTTCAGTTTCAGATACGTTGAAGGGAGGAGGAACACTAAATGTTCAGCTTGTCCATCACCACGTGTCCATACCAAACAGCACTCTGCTTTATCACACATTTGACCTTATATGGAGACAAAATTTACAAAATGAGGGTTGTGATTTGTTAGAAAACATGAAACTGAAGCTACGTCCACACGTACACGGGTACTTTTGAAAACGGAGATTTTCTGTTTTCGTTTTAAAAAATAATCCCGTCCACACGTAAACGCAGAAATGAAGGAAAACGCTGCTAGGAACATGCCAAAGCAACAGGTGGTGATATATTCCTAACCGTGTAGAAATGTTGGCCAATCAGAAGTCTAGAAGCCTGGGTGGGAAATTCGAAAATATCCACCCTGGCAGGCGTTTTTAGAAATCTCCATTTTCAGTGACCGAAAACGCCGTTTACGTGTGGACGAAAGGTGCAAACGCATAGAAAAATCTGAGTTTTCAAAAACACCCGGGTACATGTGGACGTAGCCTGAGGCTCATAATGGGATATGAGGAAGTGAGAATCGGGCTCATTTTCTCATGTTTCAAAATATATATATGTTTTTTTCTTGTTTTGAAACCAGAGGAGTCGCCCCCTGCTGGTTAGAAAGAATCATATCAATGCATCTTTCACGTGTTTGACGTAAAACGTTTTTAATGTTTGCAGTAAACTAAAGGTCAATAAATAATCTTTATCTCTTGTGTTAGAAGAAACTAAAATAAGTTAATATTTTTAATCAAAGGCTTCAATTCCTCTTTGCTCTTTCAGTGTCTTTGAACTCTGTGCTTTGGTTTGGCAGCCTGCAGTTTTGAGGTTTAAATTTTAACTCTGTCAGTTAGTCAGTTTCCTCACAGGCACACACACCCACCCACACACACTTCTGTAACTGTACTGCCAGTACTACTGGTTACTCAATGAATGAAACTACAAGTCTCAACAAGCCAGGAACACACACTCATGTAAATCACGGCAAAGTGTGACTCAGTCATCAGAGCAGCAGCCTGAGGGAAAAACTGACTCGTTGCACAAAGACAAGATGAGACTGAAAAATGCATAAACACACTCGGGCTGGACGGAGGCCAGCTGGTGTCCCAGATTAGCTCAGATTAGCTCTGTGTGTGTGTCAGATTAAGCAGTCTGGGATTAAATGAGAAACTATTTACTGTCCAGTCATGCGATCCACCAACAGATAGAGCCAGGTCAGTCAGTCATTGGTGGTGGGTATAGAGGCGGATGCCCGATGCTTCATCAATTATCCATCATTCCTATTGTGGCGTCTACATGTAAGGGAATCGGTCTAAGAACAGGTTATGTTTCAAAGCTTTATGATCACCTAAATCTACAGGGTGGGCAATTTATATACAATACAATACACCGTAATAAAATGGGAATGGTTGGTAATATTAAAGTCCTGTTTGTGGCACATTAGTATATGTGAGGGGGCAAACTCCTCAAGATGGGTGGCCATTTAGAAGTCGGCCATCTTGGATACAACTTTTGTTTTTTCAATAGGAAGAGGGCCATGTGACACATCAAACTTATTGGTAATGTCACAAGAAAAACAATGGTGTGCTTGGTTTCAACGTAACCTTATTCTTTCATGAGTTATTTACAAGTTTCTCTTTGTTCAACATAGGGTGTCTTGTATTGAAATCTGCTGCAATTCACCAGATATCAACACAATTTCGATCCGCTCCTCACGTGTTAACCTCTTCGACATGTCAATGGCTGTGAACAAAGAGAAACTTGGGACAGCCTTTCTCACAGTATATGTGAGAAACTCACATATACTGTGACTATACCAACTATTCACATTTTATTACGGTGTATCCATATAAATGGCCCACCCTATACATCTGCTGTACTGTATTTCCTGCAGTCGCCACAAACGGAATTCATTGTTACTCACTTTTTGTCAGACATTTAATGTTAAATGGATGAAATTGTCATTTTCTTTTTCCAAACCAATAAGAATTGCACAAATCGTGGTCTGGGATAATTGTCCTGCTGAAAAATGAAGGTGCTGGCAATCAGATGCTCTCCAGAAAGCTGGATGAAAATCTGGTGGTACTGCATTTGTAATTTCATTAATTTTGAGAAGATCAACATCACTGGTTGAAATGAAGCCCCAAACTGAGTCACACAGAGTGTCCATTGTTTTGTACAGATGGCTGTGGACTCACACTGTTGGATCTCTACTCCTGACCTCCTCTGTACATACTCACATGTCCCTGCTGCAGATTACCTGAATAAAATTAGTAGGTCATTAGCAAGAGTCTATAGAACAGGGGTGGGCAATTCCAGGCCTCGAGGGCCGGTGTCCCTGCAGGTTTTAGATGTGTCCTTGAACCAACACAGCTGATTTAAATGGCTAAATTAGCTCCTCAACATGTCCTGAAGTTCTCCAGAGGCCTGGTAACGAACTAATCATGTGATTCAGGTGTGTTGACCCAAGGTGAGATCTAAAACCTGCAGGACACCGGCCCTCGGGGCCTGGAATTGCCCACCCCTGTGCTATAGAACTTGACTGCATGCTGAGGTGGCAACCTGTAACCCTACTCAAATAAATGTAAGTAAATGTAAGAAATTTGTACTTCTAAAAGTACTGTTGTTGCAACATGTTAATTCACTCATGAGCTGCTGTAACACAAATCAAATGGCTAAACTGCCACCTCAGCATGCAGTCAAGATCTATAGACTTGCTAATGACCTACTAATTTTATTCAGGGTTGTTGTAGCAGGGACACATGTTAAAATTTAAGGACACCGGCCCTCGAGGACTGGAGTTTGACCCGTGTGCTTTAGAGCAAGTCTGGCTTTTTAGCAGCAAGTCCAAGACTTGCACAGCACAATATATGATACGCACACAAGAGAAAATTGTTAAGAGGGTGTTGTGTTGCAGGATTGTGAAAGGTTGTCTTCTAATATTTGGAAAGTAGGAAGTCCCATTATGACCTAATGTCTCATCTCAGAATGTAAAAAATCCTGAATTTGCTTCAGAAGTGGAAGTTTAGTAGATGAAGATTTAAAGTAGTCAGGTTTCAAATGTTCAAATGCAGATGACTGTGATTAGACAGTGGCCAGCTTCACACAGACTGATTTTGCTCATACTTTTAGAAATATAAAGCCAGCCAGCAATATTCATTTATGATGCATGTTTCACAGACAGGAGGATAAGAAGCAATTAATAATAAACAGGAGAAATATATACAAAACAAAAGGCTACGGAGCCCCGCAAGGGACATTGGAGGAAAAAAAATTAAGATGAACTTTTCCGCAAAACTTTTGCAAGATCCAGTGTTAATTTGGTGAAATCCTGCAAAAGATTTTGCAAGATCTCGCAAAAGTAACTCGGGAGCTATGTTCCAATCCCTAGGCCGCATCCTTCAGAGGCCGCATTTGAAGGCCGATTACGTCACAGCCAGGCGATGAAGGCTGTCCCAATTCAAAGTCTGCTCCAAATGCAGTTCATTTCCCCGAATTTGAAGGATGGGTCGAGTATTTCTTTTGTGGCCCAACCTTTCCCAGAATTCATAGCACGGCCCATCCAATTTCAGTTACCAACAATTGGGGGCAGCTCCGTAGTTTTGATATTACTCTTTCTGGGTCACAAAATAAACTTTCAAGATATTTGAAAATATAGGTGTGTAAACTTCAAATATCTGCTTGATTTATCAAGACATCACATATTTGCAAAAGTGCTCCAATGTTTTTGGAGATGTCTGTTACCCACTAGCTCGATAGCTAGCCGGGGGTTCAAGGCTTACTAAAGCCGGCGAGAACAGTGGACTTCCAGCACACCATTTTCAAAACCCCTGCAACCTTTCGCTACTCAGATTATGATATATAAGTCACTTAGGCAACTTAAAAATGTTATTGTTTGGCTTTTTTCAGTTTTTTATTTGTTCCTCAGTAAAACAGTTTGGCTGAGATTAAAGTTATAGTTTTCACACAGCTAAATAAACGTCAAACAGAAAATTGATTAAACAGAAGTGTGAGATGGTAGAGAATTTACTCCAGTGTCCTGTTATATTTTAGATAGCAAGGAGCAGATAACTGACACAGCTGGGGACGCAAATCTGAAGGCTAGACCGTCCCATTTCACAGCCTCGCACTTCCAGCCTTGTCGGTCTTCGGAGGACCTGGCCTTCGCGGTCTACGTGGGCCATGTCCTTCAAAGGATGCGGCCGGGATCTCGCTCCTGAGTTACTTTTGCGAGATCTTGCAAAACTTCATCTTCATTTTTTTTCTCCAATTGTCCCTTGTGGGGCTCCATAAAAGGCACACAATAGAGGACAGGTGCAAAGTGTTTGGAAGTAGTGCAAAAGGACTCCATGTGTGGTTGTGCAAGTCATTAATGCAAGACATTAATGTATGCAGTTTTGTATATCAGATGCAATGAAATATAGAGAAAGTTAGAAGCATTTCTTGATCTTGACAAACTGAATCATGAAGATAACAAAAAAGTGTGCAGCAGATTACTGCAGCAGAAATAAAACATCCCGGTCTGTCAGTCGAGCTGAGAAAGCTGAAACAGTTCACTTTTTAACCAGATTCAGTTCATTTTCATTTCTCCAGCACCGGCTTATAGCAGCAGCTGCCTCAGCCTCAAACCTCAACACTGTTTACACATTTGGCAAAATTACCTTTTTAGATTCTTTTACTGAGCTGCTGCTGGGTGGATATCCCTTAAATAAGAGCTCCTGATCTCAAAAAAGCCCCAAGACATTGGCACAGGAACAATAACCTCCTTTATTCTTTTTTTTACCATATCTGATAATGGCTATCGAAACAAAATGACTTTAATAAAAAAAAAAGCTAAACACATGCTGTGTGGGAAGTCTTCATGAGGAACACATCCGCCCAGGAAATCTTGTTATTGTGATCATCACAAGTTGTCATTTCACACCTTTTGTCATTTCAACTCCCAACTAAGTCTCAGAATTACAGGTGGGACAGGAAGCGCCAGGAGCAGGGTTACCTTTTGAAGACTGGCCGATGCTGTACAGGTGTGTGATGTCAGGATTCGAGGTGCTGACCTGCTTGAGGTACTGCTCAATCTCATGGTTGTTGTGATATCGAAACTCCAATGTCCAGGCGGGTGTGAAGAGGAAGAAGGGAGGGAGGAGGAAGAGGAGGAGTGATAACATCACTGCAGTAAGACCTGTGGAGGGAAACAAAAATATTTTTAAAGTAAATGAAATAATTTAAACATCTTCACTGACATTCTACTCATTTTTATAAGTTTTTATAACTCTACATAAATATAATATAATAGATAATCAATGATGTTCATGCACAGAGTCCTTCTTGAAACAAGTCTCACCACCTTTAAATGTCTCTGGGCAATTAAGTTTAAGCTTTCTGTAAATTAACTGTAATTTCAGTTACCTCCACATAAAAATGCATGTATATAATCATAATACGGTTTGATTAAAAACTGCATTAAAAATTAGCTGACTCTGCCATAAAATTAGCTTTTGAAATTTTTTCTTCTTGGACATTGTACTTCCAGAAGAAAAAACCAGCTTTGCTGCTGCACAATCCTCCTGTTCCTCGACAGCCATACCTCCCACTTATAAAGTCTTTGCTTAAAAATAAAGGTCTCCGACATCCTGAATTTTAAGGGATTTTGTTAGCATCACATCACTGTTCAGTATTAATTCTCAATCTCAAGAGAAAGAAGCAGGTAAGTCTTCATGTACACAACTAGTTAAACCAGTCATATAAAACACTGGTAATGTTTAGTCACTTGTATTTTTATTTTTATTTTTATTCCTATTTATTCTATTTATCCCCTTTGTTTATTTTATCTATATATGTCTTTGTATTTATATATGTGTGTGTATATATATATATATATATATATATATATAATATCCTTAACTCTGTAACTTCTGTCGGTGCTGTGCTTTTTGGAAACCAAATTTCCCAGAGGAACCCACCGGAGGGATTAATAAAGTTTTATCTATCTATCTATCTATCTAGATCATTAATCCAGTGAGGAGACGCTTTGTAGGATTACATTAGATTACTCTGTATATTTCTTGTTGACTAAGTTGTGCCATTTAAAGATTTTTGGTTGAATGAATAAAAAGGAATGTTTGAGTTTAAATGCAACAAAACACTGAAACCTACCAAATAAAACAGTTAATAAGACAATATCAGGGAGCAAATTGCTATTATTATTATTATTATTATTATTATTATTATTATTATTAATAATAATAATAATAATGCATATTATCAGATGATTAGCGAGACACAGTGAAGTTAAACTGCAATTTATACATTTTATAAATTTCCTTATTCATCTAATAAACATAAGAGAAACAAATATTTAAAAAATATTTTTGTGAAAACAATAACAACAAAACAAGTAAGAAATAAACAATTTTAAATATTAATATATTTAAAAATACATTCTAGTCAAATTCTGAAGGTACTGTTAGTTGTAAACATCACCCCCGTGAAAGTTCTGTTTAAAAGAGAAGTAACACAGAGCGTGAACGCGTTTGAGGTCAAGTCTGGGACTGTTAGGTGAGCAGAGACGGTCTTACCTGTCCACGCGGCTCCGAACAACACCGGCAGAAAGACGAACAGATAGCTGCTGTCTGTCGCTCCCCTCAAAGAGTGTTACTCATTCACCACCGGGTCTTCGTCTTGCTCCGCGGGAGGGGCGGAGCTTGGAGAAGTGTGCGTGTATGTGTGTTGGGCGCAGGCGCAGGTTGTCGGCAGGTTTGTGAATGAAACAGAGCGCTGATTCATGCAATCTGTTGAAAGAGGCTCACATGAGTAGATCTGAAAGTGTGGTTGACAGCGACGGAAGCAAAAAATATCCAAATGCATTCAAATGAAGAGGAAATGACAGAGGAAGTAGGCGTCCAGCAAAGAGAGAGGAGGCAAAGGAAAAGGCTTCTAGCGAGCTGTGTGTTAGGATGGACACTGAAGGAGAAAAGGAATTGTATCTATTGGCTCAGCAGAGTGAGCTGGAAAGGATGTGCAGCAGATTAGAGTGATTAAGGATGGAGAAGAAAATTTAAGGAGTGAAGAGACTGTGCTGAGAAGATGGAAGACGATTAATAAGAAAGAGAAGAGGACAGATTGAGGAGTGACAGTAGTAGCTTTATATTGTAAGGCAAAGACCCTACAGTAATGGTATGTTACCAGTAGGGTGAGATGGAGGCAGATGATCCCTAAAGAAAGCAGCAGAAAGAAGAAGAATTATTATTTTACGGTGATGGTGATTTAACGTAGAAAAAGTTGTATTTTGGTCTGGTTGAAATTTTAGGTGAGAGATGATGCTGTAAAGGCCCATTAATGTTTTCTTTGAGTCTTTGTTCTTTTTGCTGAGGAGGCTGAATGAGTCTTGGAAAAGTTAAAAGGGTCCTTAAAATAGCTGTAGGAGTCTTAAACAAATTGGGTTGTTGAAGGGGTTGTAAAGATGTTGAGGAGATTGTAGGGACTTCAAAGAGGTTGTATGGGCATGTTCTTCTTATAAGGGATCTTTGGTTGGTATTGCTGCTGAGATTGTAGTTCTAAATGTTGATTTTTTTTTGCTGTGGAAATTTTGGGAGGCATTCAGCAACTCATGCAAGCTTCTCAAGAGTTGGTGAAAGGTTTGGACTGCAGACAGGCCAGTTGGTTCTGGGTCTGGTGACCCAGTGTCCATGTGTTTTTGTGCATGATTGGTATTCCTTGGTTTTGTATCAGTTATGGTTGTTCTGTATATGTTACTCTTCAGTCTCTATTGGGATGTGTTTTAGGGTTAAAAGAATATTCTAAGTTTAGGTTCTCGGAGTGATTTGTTAGGTTATTCAGTTCCTTGCTGTTAGTGATTATGTTTTACCTCCTTCAGTGTCTAGCCATGTCTTGTGTAGAGATGGTACGATACCCTTCATTCATCTCCATTTGAAGCAATGCATTATCTGGGACTGTAACATCTAGTGCTTTTATTGGATCATACTAAAATGTTAAAAAAACAAAACACTAAAGCTATTCCTTTATACTTGTATGCAAAAAATACACTGCACCCAAATTATTTTGCAGTTCAGCAATACTGAACCTTTTATTTACACTTATAGCAGAACTTTAAATCTAAGTATTTAAAGTAATATTAAAAAAGTAATTTAAAATATAATTTTATGCAGATTTCAAAAACTCTTTGGCTCTGGAAAAAAAGAAGTGCAATATCAGCACAAATGTTTATATTCAACAACTAAAAACAACAAAAAAACAAAAAACAGGTTGTGGAATGGACCCTTTTATACTTAAAGCTTAACATAAATTGACATCCAGATTGGAAAGCAGTTCAAATAAATGCAAACACGGCTTCTCACGACACTCATCTTTTATCAAGAGACTGAATTTTGTGTAATTTCTATACAAAACATAACACAAGTATGAAAAAAAGTGTTTTGCACAGTTTTTTTTTTTTTTCAAACCACGAAACGGTTTCATAATACTGTCCGATACCACAATAAATAATTTTCTGTTGTAACCCTCAAATGGTAATGTAACGATACTCATTTTTCACTTTTTCACAAAACTAAAACATCTCTGCTTCCACGTCTAATTGTCTGTAATGGAGGTGGAGAAAATTAAACTGGATCCACATTCTGTGCCCAACTAATGCTCGCTATGCAGGGGGAACAAATTTTGTTTGGGATGCCCACCTTGGAACAACTCCTGGTTTGGCCGCACGTAACGAGGCTCCAGAGGCTTTCAGTGTGAACTCCAGATTGCCAACAGGTCTCGCACACAACAGCCGCCGTAGGTCACTACCTGAGTTACACCCATGTTGCAAGTTTTGTGAGATACTGTATATCGGATTGATCCATCCCTAGTCTTGTGTTCTGTGAGTCTTGCAAAAAAAGTTCAGCACTCCAACTCTCATTAAAGCCATGGAGCTATAATAGATGCAGTATGTGGTTCAGCATTGTCCTGCAGAAATATGCAAGGCATTCTCTGAAAAAGACCTCATCTGGACGGGAGCGTGTGTTCCTCTAAACCCTATTAACCATTCAGCACTGATGGCGACTTTCCTGATGTGGCAGGTGATAATTCCTTTAACACTAATGCACCCTGATCATGTTCATGAGTAGGTCCTTCTCTGCACGATGGAACAGAGCATGTCTTTGTCCTGTCGTCATCCACTCACACCAAACCAGCTGCCGCAGATGGCCGCCCCTTCCTGAGCCTTGTTCCACTGGTGGTTTCTTCCTGTTAAAAGGGAGGTTTCCCTTCCCACTGTCACCAAAGTGCTTGCTCATAGGGGGTCATATAATTGTTGGGTTTTTCTCTCTATGTGTTATTGTAGTGTCTGTCTTACATTATAAAGTGCCTTGAGGTGACTGTGGTTGTGATTTGGCACTTTATAAATAAAATTGAACTGAATTTTATTAATGTGAATCTGAACTCTCTGATATTCATGTCTTTGATGTTCCAGTAACTCTCATGTGGTGTCACACAGTGATGTTTTATTCCTGTCAACAGTAAAAATGGAAATAACTGTGTGATGGTAGGAAGAGGCTTCATAATAAAATCAGCCAAGAGCCTGAAGTCATGCTAGATTGCTTTGTGGTAATTTGGCGCCATCTGCTGGTTAAAGTTCTAAACTACAGTTCAACTGTTTCCATTATAGCTCAAATAGAACCGAGAAATTATGGATTTAAAACATAGAATCAATTAGAAGTTAGTAGAAGAAAAATCCAATATTCTTCACTAGTCATCAGTGATGACTGGTGTCCACTCTCAATCTTTTTGTATGTATGTCTGGGCTCGTGGTCTACTTTAGGATCAAGAGATAAAGATCTAGGGAAAAGCTTTCACATAAATTTAACTCATATAAAATGAATTCACATAAAACAAAAAACAAACAAACACACACATTAAGTAATTATTCCCCAAACATCACATATAAGGAAAAACTGACTTTGTACAATTCAAACGAGCTTAAAAGTCGATATTTGGTATATTTTGATATGACTGCCTTTCACCTTTATTCTTAAGCAGTCTGAACTCTCTGAGGCAACTTTCTTTAACTTCTTTAAGTATCTTCAGGTATTGTTCTCCAGGCTTCTTGAAGGACATTTAAAACTCTTCTGTGGATGTTTCTGCCTTTAGTTCTCTTCTCTGTTAGGATGATCCCACATTTCTTCAACAATCCTGAGGTCTGGGAGAGGCCAATCCATAACTTACAGTGTTTCATTGTGTGTTGTTTCAATCCAGCCAAGGTTACGCTGAAAAATGAAGCTGTTGCCAATCAGGTGGTTTCCATTTGATATTGCATGGTGGATCAGAATCTGATGGTACTTTTCTTTGTTCATAATTTCAATTCCAAACAGCACTGCATCCTATCTGATTCACTAAAGTCCAGTTCTTGTGCAATTTTCATAGCTTAGCCTCTTCTCTCTGTTTACTTTCCTCAAGAATGGCTTCTTACCAGCTACCCTTCCAGGGAGACCATTTCTGTTGAGGCTTCAGTGAACAGTAGCTGGATCAATGGAAAGTCCAGATGCATCCCTTGGGTTCAGGTCTTTGCTGGATTTCTTCCTGTTTTTAAAGGACATGACTTTCATATACTGATCATCTGCTGTAGATTTGAGGGGGATTGTTTTAGGGCTGAGACTTTATCCGTCAATTTTTTAAGGACATGCTGCAGACCATGCTCAGTTGTTGGTGCAAAAATAAAAATTTATGCCCTTTACAAAATTACAAGAAAGTCTGGCTACTTGGTGGGACACCGGCCCCCGAGGACTGGAATTCAAGACCCCTGTCCTAAGACTGTCATAGCTAGATCAGTAAGTTTTATTGCCAACTATGTACACTGTAAGAAAAAAACAACAAACAAACCCCCGGACTGTTTTGCATAGAACAGTTTTTCCTGTTTGGACATATCATTTATATGAGACATAGACAGAAGTGCAGTTTGTTGCTACTGTTTGGGTTGCCTTTCTTAGATAAACTTGCATCATACAAAAATTGTCCTGGCTTTCAACATTTCCTTTTACCAATTCAGTTCTAAGCTGTAGTAACAACTCCAGGTAGTCATTATTAAACAGACTTTTGAATAGCTGTAAAACAGCCTGTTTTAGTTTAAGCATTGTTTTCAATAAATTGCATCCTCAAAATGTTTTGTCTCACTCCCATTTCTTCTTGATGAGTGTTGAGGCTCTACTTGGAACCTTGTTAAGATCCAACCATGCAAAATATTACATTTTTTTGCTTTTTTTTTGAGTGGTCTTAAACTTTTGATTGGGACTGTAGTACTATTGGCACCCCCTCCCAAATTCATCTTGCAGCCAGAGTGACAAAACCGCTCAAATGTTTATATTCACACTTTTATTATAATATATAAAAAAAAATTCACTACAACGTTATATTGCTAGTGGGTCTGTAAAGGGCAATGAGGACATGTATGTGGCTTTCATGCTACAAAATAAACTTTTTTTCAGTATGTGGTACAAAATATCTATATAAATAATACTTCTTAATAATGCCCAATACTTATGCTTTAAGTTTAACTTTAAAATAGTTAGTAATACTTAATAGTACCTAAATTGGAATTGGAATTACAGTAAAATATAGAAACATCAATATTGTGGCGAGCTCAGA